TGGGCCGTGCCAGGTGCGGGGTCTGCTGGCTGGGTGCTGGCAGGCTTGCACCTGGCATGGGCACCGTAGCCAGCCCGTTCCCCTTTAAGGGCTCCGGGGCCAGGAGGGGGGGCATAGAGTTTCCCTGGTGTTGGCCAGAGTGGCCACCAGGGAAAGCTGGGGAGGGCTAGCCTCCCACTAGTTCGAATTAAGGGGCTACACACCCCTTAATTCGAACTAGTAAGTTCGAACTAGGCTTAGTCCTCGTACAATGAGGTTTACCTAGTTCGAACTAAGCGCTTTGCTAGTTTGAATTAAGTTCGAACTAGCGGAGCGCTAGTGTAGCGCCTATCAAAGTCCGTTAGTTCGAATTAACTTTGTAGTGTAGACATACTCTTAGATAGTAACACTTCAGACTGCTGTACAGTCACTATAGATTTTGGCTGGGGCAGTGAATCCAACACCCCAACACCCGGGTCTCACTCCGGCAGCTTGCCTTCTATCAGATCTTGACTGTTCAGTCTGCATATGTGCCACAATACAGAAGAACTCCTTGAGGCTATTACTAATAAGCATTGTGAACACAGAAAACCTATACTGTGTTCGCAGTTCTATTTAGTCTCTAACTCAGACGCACAGACACCCATAACTGTGATTTTGCATGCTAACTCTCTCTGTACATGAGTTGCCACTGACCCCAGCCAACCACCAAAAGAGCTGCTCAAGTGATCCCTCTTAATGTTACTTCTTTTTTGTTAATGCTGGAGAGACTAGAATCCTAACTTTAAAGTGATGCATTGTTATTTGCTGAAAATCTACCCTCCCTTTCTCTCCTGAATTCAAAAGTAGATAGTTCAGATTACATTGTTTAGTAACAGTGGGTGTACATGTTTTTTTTCCCCTTTAGTATTGATACCATGCTATATAGGCTGCTAATTAGTCTTATTTCTGTTTTAATCAGGCAGGTTGTGTTAATTAAAGAATGCAGAGGGTTTATTTTTCCAATTAACTGTTTGGCTTCTTTACCTGTGAGCAGTAGAGTTTACCCAGAAATATCTTTTGAATTTTGCAGTTGCTTCCAGGTAACTTGCTGTAGATAAAATTTACAGAATACATGGATCTTTAAACTTTAATTATATGAGCTGAATTCAAAACTATTTTCATGACAACTTTGGAATATTAATCAAGGTTTTATTTTTTTTACTTTGCAACTGAATTATTAATGCATTTTTTCACTAAACTCAAAATTAGATTTTGTATGTGCATGTGAATATATTGTACAATTTCTTGTTGTCTTTGCAGTGGTGTGGAGATATGGGTAATGCAGTGTTTATTGATATTAAAGTTGTGTTTACAGAGGCAGGGGTCAGTATGTGGTCACTGTCTGCAAATAATAATAATATATCTTTCTGCCAGTTAGAACACTGTGCAGGACTAATAAGGGAATGTCCATATATATGATTTTAAAGGTTTTGCAAGTATTAGGGATAATTAATAGTTTTGCAATTCACTGCAGATATAATTTGCTTCCAAAAAAATTGTGAACTAACATAACCTTGTTTTGTTGTTTAGGGAAAATATTAGGTGTTTTTTAATTATTAAACTCTTCAGACATACAATTTTGGAAACAAGGAATTCAGATTTAATAGCTGATGTCAATTCATCCTTTAGTTTCATTATTTCAAATAGCTTGTCCACTTTCAGCAGTGTAAGATAGCTGAGACACTGTATACCAGAGGTCTCAAACTCATGGCCTGAGCCTGCACTCAGTTTCTGGTACGCGAATCCCTGTGGCACTGGGGGAAGGAAGGGAGCAGGAATTGTGCATACCCTTATCCCAAGCCCAGCCCTTGCTCCACCCCCACTCCACCTCTTCCCACCTCTGCACTTCCCCCTCTCCCTTGCAACCTTTTCCCCAAGACTCCTTCCCCGAGTCTTGGGGAAGATTACGGGAGAGCCTGATGTAGGGCATCAGCAGGGTTCAGGGCACTCACCATGGTGGTGGTGGCAGCCCCTGGGGGTGTTAAATCTCCCTGGAGTGGAAGGCAGAACTGGGGGATGTGTAGGATTGGGGAGCATACATAGACCCCCACCCTCTCTGGAGTCCTGCTATATACATTGAGACCTCCAC